TAAATGTGATGTGTGTGGGAAAGCCTTCAGTCAGAGCTCTGACCTTATTCTGCATCAAAGAATCCATACCGGGGAGAAACCATATCCATGCGATCAGTGTAGCAAAAGTTTCAGTCAGAACTCAGACCTTATTAAACATCGAAGGATCCACACTGGAGAGAAACCCTATAAATGTAATGAATGTGGGAAGGCTTTTAATCAGAGTTCAGTCCTTATTCTGCATCAGAGAATCCACACTGGAGAGAAACCCTATCCGTGTACTCAGTGTAGCAAAACGTTCAGCAGACTTTCAGATCTTATTAATCATCAGCGAATTCACACTGGAGAGAAGCCTTACCCATGTGACCAGTGCAGTAAAATGTTTAGTCGAAGATCAGATCTTGTGAAGCATCATAGGATTCATACGGGTGAGAAACCATATGAATGTGATGAATGTGGGAAAACCTTCAGTCAGAGCTCCAACCTTATTCTACATCAGAGAATCCACACAGGAGAGAAACCCTATCCGTGCAGTAATTGTTCTAAAAGCTTTAGTCGTCGTTCAGACCTTGTTAAACATCAAAGAATCCACACTGGAGAGAAACCATATGCGTGTAATCAGTGCAATAAAAGTTTTAGTCAAAGCTCAGACCTCACTAAACATCAGAGAGTGCACTCTGGGGAGAAGCCCTATCATTGCAACAGTTGTGAGAAAGCCTTCAGTCAGAGTTCTGACCTTATTCTTCATCAGAGAATTCACACTGGAGAAAAACCATACCCATGCACACAGTGCAGCAAAAGTTTCAGTCAGAACTCGGACCTTATCAAACACCAGAGAACCCACACCGGGGAGAAACCATACAAATGTAATGAGTGTGGGAAGGCCTTCAGTCAGTGCTCAGCTCTGAGCCTACATCAGAGGATCCACACTGGGGAGAAACCGTACTGGTGTGATCAGTGTGGCAAAAGCTTTAGTCGGCGCTCTGATCTCATTAACCATCAAAGAATCCACAATGGTGAAAAGCCATATAGATGTGATACCTTTGGGAAACCTTTGGCACATGCACTGATGTTACTGAACATCAGAGAATCCACACTGGGGAGGAACCCCTCCCGTGTATTCAGTGCAGCAGTTTTACCCAAATCTCTGAACTTACTGATCATGAGAAAGTCCATTCTGGCCAAGACAATCTAATGGTGACGAATGTGAGAAAACCTTTAGTGTACACACCAACTTTATTCAGTACCAGAGACACTATACTGGAAAAAAGCTTATGAATGCTATTGATGATTATGAAAAAGGTTTTAATCAATGCTCAACTCTTGTACTACATTTAGAAGAAAAAAAAAAACCACCCACAGTGCAGAGAAAAACATTGATTCAATTGTTATAATGAAGGTTTAACTCAGAGAAATTCTGAGGAGGAATCTTGTGTGTTGTGGGAAAATGTTCAATGTGAATAAAAATTATACCAAATGTCAGCAACAATGGAAATTTGTATCTGCTATAATGTGAGAAAATCTCTAGTCTTATCAAATACAACCTATGAGAGTTTTAAAAGTATTAAGAACCTTACCAGATATTGTAAAAATCCGTGTTGTGGGTGTGCAATCAGAACTTAGAAATATATTAGTATTATAACCTCAAATCTTTAGTGAGCCCAAATTACCTATCACATATCAGAGAAGTTATTTTAGATAATGTAGGGAAAACTTAAAATTCCTTCCATATTTAATTGGCACTCACTCTGATATCACACTTATCTGCTGACATCTGGAGAGTTCTACCTTATGTTAATGCTAGTAATCATTAAATCCAGTGTATGAACATATGATGCTATTCTGATACTAAATTTATTAACTACACAACTCCAGTGCTCCATTTTCTACAAAAAAAAAAAGTTTTTGTGGCCTAGTTTTGGTTTTCCTAGTGAGAAGGAGTTTTTAAGTTCCTGTGATGTACATAGCAAATATGGATTTATTTTGCTTTCAATAATGAAGCCTATAAGCTTTAGTGGTTTGAAATAGTTTCTTCAATACTACCATTTAATCACAGCTTAAATATGTGAAACAATAAAAAATATTTCATATGTCAAAGTATGATGATTTCTCTACTACATTATTTATCTTGTCATCTATAAATTGAACAAAAGTATAGCTAAAGTAATACCCCATGACTAATTTGTGTAGCATATTCTGTTTAAAAATAAAAATACCTACCCACTGATTTTTTAAGTGGCAACATTCATCAGACATTTGTTGATTTCTGACATGCCTATTAATAATAGGCTGCATATATGCAACGTTTTCTACTGAAAAATAGTTTTTTTTAATTCTAATTGTCTTCCTGGTATTAACCATTTTTTAAAATTATGCTACTATCATATACTTTGAATATCCTCTATAATTATCTAATTAATATTTCAATCCAATAGGAATTGTCAAATTACTATGTGCAAGGCATTTGTTAAGGCTTTATAGTCTACACAAAGTTTGTATACAAAGGCTTGTGTACTGTCCCAACAAAGCATGTATTATTTAAGGACTGATGTCTATACAGAAAACGTATAGCTCAATGTAATCATAAAGGTAAACAAGGTATTTACTAGTAGCCCTAGCCGGTTTGGCTCAGCAGATGGAGTGTTGGCCTGCGGACCAAAGGGTCACGGGTTCAATTCTGGTCAAAGGCAGTTACCTTGGTTGCAGGCTCCTCCCCAGCCCAGGCCCTGGTTGGGGCTCGTGCAGGAGGCAACCAACTGATGTGTTTTTCTCACATCGATGTTTCTGTCTTTCCCTTTCTCTTCCACTTTCCCTAAAAATCAATGGAAAAATATTCTCGGTTGAGGATTAACAACAAAAAGATACTTATGAGAGCTCTGAGGAGGTAGGGTTCAATTCTGATTGGAAAGCTTTGTGGAGCTCCTGAGACCTGAAGTTTGAAGGATGAGGTAGGGGCATAAAGGCAGGGAGAGAATAGTCAACAAAGGCACAGAAGCAAGGAAGTAAAGAAATGATGTGGAGTGTAGGGCTTAGTCATTAATTCACTCAAACATTCAGTGTCAGGCACTGTACTAAGTGCTGCCGAAGGAAAAAAATAAAAGGTTCCTGCCGTACGTGTTATGGAAATAATAACTGGGACATGTACTTAAAAGAATAAGAATAAAATGGAATTAAAAATGAAGTAGAAGAAAAGACAATTGAGGAGTGTGATAGTAAACAGGCACTTAAACTTCCCAGGGTTTAGTGTCATCTAAAAAGTATTAGGTGGTGGGAGTAGATACATTTCTGCATTTTGCTCTCAAGACAATGGAAAGCCATTAGGATCTTTGAACCAGGGAATGGCATGCTCACTTCCCTGCTTTATGAAGTCTAAGATTAAAAGGAGGAAAGAGCAAAAAGAAAAACTATTTGAAAGTCTGGAAATAAAATCATGAGGCCCAGAAGTAGAGGAGCTTGAAGATACTGACATGGTAAGTTGAGAAATAAGTAGGGAGACAAGTATACAATCAATTATTGTCTGTTCTTTGGAGAATTTTAAAAAAGTGGAAAAGAAAAATAGGGTAATCAATTTTATATTGAAGTTTAGCAATCTCTCTCGAGTGAAATGTTGAGCCAACTGTTTACTACACATTTCTCCTGTGTCATACTGGTAAACTTATGTTCATGAATTTAACATATATCCAATGATGTTGTCCTGCTCAATTCCCTATCCTGGTGAATTGCTCTACTAAACATTCTTGCTATCCAGATAAAATAACATAGCTATCCTACACTCCTCATCCTCCGTTTTCTAAATAAATTAGTCCAGAAAAATGAGTACATACCAGCATGGAGACTGAGAAGCATCCGTGAGGTAAGAAAAAACCAAAGTGTTGTTCTTTAAAGGAAATTGTCTATGATGCAAATATTGCTGATGGCTCAAACAATATGCCTAATAAATATTAGAATCAGCAGGATAGAGATCAGCAAAATTGACTAGAACTTTTTACATAAATTTGTATGATGTAATGTCACACCTCTCATTCCTGATATTTTTTTTCCCCTGATCAGTCTGGCTAGCTTATCAGTTAGATTAATCTTTAAAAAAAAACAAGCTTTTTTATTTCTAAACCTTTTCTATTATTATATTACCTTCAAAAATGTGTAAAAATTTTTTTGAAACTTCAAAGAAACAAGACACTTTGTTCTCTTCTCAGCAACTAATCATGTCGCTTCTTTCCTCATTCAAAGTTCAATCATAGTCCCACCACTGGCTAGCCAGGTCTCCCATGATCTGGCCCTGCCCATAACCCTCACCCCACTTTTCTCTCTGGCCTCATCCACTACTTCCCCCCAAGTTCATTCTGCTGGAGACACACTGGCCTCCTTGCTGTTTCTTGAACAAATGACGCACTGTTCCCACATCGAGTCCTTGGTACCGTGTTCACATGCCTCGAACATCTTTCCTCGGGTCCACTTGCTTTCTTATCCTCACTGGTCTTTCATCGGCTCTCACGTTCTCAGTGAAACCTTCCCTGAATGACCTTCCTACATGGCAGTCCTTTCCTCCTGGATTTTCGTATCTCTCTTTCCGGATTTATTTTCTCCTTATTCACCAAGACATAAAATGTTTTTTGGTGTTTTTTCTTTTTACTACCACATGTAGTCTCCACACACAGGGGCAACAAATGTAAACCCCAGAAGTCTTGGGCTTGAGCAATTTCAAATCCACAGGCCTGAGAATCAAATGAGGGCCCCCAAGAACCACAGGAGGGGGATGGAGGTCATGGGGAGGGACTCCTAGGGTCACATACAGAAAACACTTGAGGGGAATGCCTCAAGAATAATGGCTGCAGCATAGACAGCAGCGTCATCCCTTCTCAATCCTGGAATGAAGGATAGGAAGAGAGATTCCTGAAGATATGACCATGTGAAAAGCTTTTCATCCACAGACATTCCCAACATCAACGTTCAGTTATTACTGGTACGTAAAGTATATGTATGTGGTGTGTGGTATAGAGTGCAGTAACAAATGGCAGAGGTTGACAGAGGCCAAATCATGGAAGGCCATGCTAATTTTATTAACCTATATAGTGCATAAAGTGTAAGTCTAGAATTTAAAATTACAGAGGTTTCTACAAATCAATAAGAAAATACAAATAACCTATATTAATCAGGACAGAAACCCAATTCAATTATCTTAAACAGGAAAGGGACTTTATTGGCTCACAAAACGTTAAAGTCCGGAGGTAGGGCAGGCTTTAGGCACAGCTGGATCGAGGGCCTCCAGAAAAATGACATCAGAACTCAGTTCTCTGTCCTTTCTGCTAGCCTCTGAGCTTCTCACTCTCCCCACATGGTACACACACAGTCCTTAGTTCCTGGGATCTCCGTGAGCCGTGTTGCCAATCGTTTCCGCAGTTTGCTGAGAGCTCTCTGTAGCCTGGCTTGAGTTACACACCTATGCTTTCATCACTGCGGCTACGGTAAGGAGCTGCAGAACTCAGGGAGGCCAGACCTGGTCATGTGTTCAGCTAAGCCATAGGGAATGGGTTCCCCGCAATAAATAAGGGCTCTGTTACCAGAAGATGGGAAAAGAGATGCTGTACAAACAAAAACAACATACACCCACACATAACCCAATTGGAAAGCAGGTAGAGGATGTGAACAAACAATCCATGGTAAAACTATAAATGGCCAATAAACATGAAAATAACCTCAACCTTATCATTAATCAGGGAAATGTAATTAAGGATTTTTTGTTGTTGTTGTTCAGATAAAATAAGTGCAGGTAAGGCCATATGGGGAAATGAGCATTTTCCCTACAGTTGGTAAAATATAAAGTTATGAAGGCCTTTAGGAAGGCTAAGGTGAGCCTATCAGGGAATGCACCACTGATGTAATAATCCACCTTAGACAACGCCATCCTAAAGGAATATTCACACACATGCACAAAGATATATGAAAAAAGATTTACTTTGGCAATGTAAGAGCAGGAGAAAAAAATACCTTCAGTCATGGTATTTTCATAATATTGAATCCTATTCAACCATTAAAGAAATTTAAAGACCTCAGGAATAGGTTTTTTGAGACCAAAAAAAGGCAAGCTGTAGAACAGTACATATATGATCCTGTTTATGTAAAAATAGCTTTTATATGCTTATGTACATTCAAATGGAGAAGTATGGAAAGGGGACTAGATAGATGTATACTAAACTCTGGGAAGTGGAATGTGATTGAAGTGCTGGAGAAAGTCTTTGTTCTTATACCTGTATCATTTATGCTTTATACATTGAGCTAGTAGTCATTTATACTTTCATAATTTTAAAAAAAGAAACATGGGCAAACACAATTCATAACAGGAAATGCAAATGGCCAATAAACATAGGAAGAAATGTTCCTCATTAATTATCAAAGGAAGGAAATACATTTTGCCTATCAGATTGGTGTGGGTGCCCACAGGCACTCTTATTATTGTAAACTGCTGTAAATTGGTAATCTTTTGGGTGGCATCTCTTAAAATGCTGAATGTGCACATTCTCTGACCCAAAAAATCCACTTAATATATGTACAAGGATCTTAACCATACCTTTATGTATAATAATTTAAAAAAAGAACGAAATTATCCAGGGGTTGATTAAATAAATAACAGTATATTCATGCAATGGAACAGTATTTGTAGCCAGTATATTCATGCAATGGAACAGTATTTGTAGCCATGAAAAACAATGTCTATATCAAATTGGGAAGGAGGGGAGACAAATTTCAGAGCAGTACATGTAAAATGGGGATATGTACCTACCTCATATGGTTGCTGTGAGGATTAAGAGTTAATCCATGGTAAAGCACTTCAAAACAGTGCCTTTATAGGAACCACAAGTGTCGGCTATTAACACATTTTTGCTTAAACTTGTATATGCCTAAGTCTGGAAGAATAACAGACCAAGTAATTATTACTTCTGAGTAAGACTATGAGAAAGAATGTTCTTTTTCACTTCATATTCTGTACTATAAAAAATCTTAATGAGTGAATTTAATAGTTTTCATATTTGTTAACTATAAAAGATAAAAACCTCTGAACCATAAAAGATAAAATCTAAAATCAAGGTTTAACAGCCACTGTTCATGGCATTGTGGAAAAATTGATGTCTGTGGAGTTCACAGAACTAGATTTGAGTGTTAGCTCTACTTGGCCACATGCAAGTCACATGATCTCTGAATCCTGCTCTTTAGTCTACAAATCTAAGTGCGACAGGGAGTGTCTAATCTGATGCCTGGCATGCAGATTATTTCAATACATATAATCCTCCCTTCAACCTACATTAATGCGGTAGACATACTGCTAAATGATCAAGTGCCAACTGGGTGTGAATGTAGGGAGCTTAACCTCCAAGAAACCCAGAATTTACCAGTAATGAGCAAATGCTCAGTGGCTATTGGGTAGGTATCAGCAGTCTGCATGCCATTAACACTGACTGCTTGCTAACCAAAAGTTGCCACTGCTTGACAACTGCCAGATCACCATTTCATCAGAGGCTGCACAGCCCCCAGAATTGCTATGATTATCTGCATGGGTATAGATAAATGTATAGATGAAATCATAAATCACTGAATAGTTATTTTAGGTCGATTTATCCATTGGGGATATAACCTAGTCAGAAACAGCAAGTACACCAACCACTTTCTTTTCCTGTGGATCATCACCCAGTCTTTTTGGATCCAGCCATTTCCCCACTGAGCCCTGCCGTAGCCTCAGAATGTTTTCTCAACAACCCATGGCTATGAGCTGGCAAGACAAACACTTATTTGCCAACTCTAACACTACTCTAAGCTCTCACATTATACCAAACATCTTTGGCCTTTAAGACAAATCTACCACACTGAAGCTTCTTGGTATACAGAAAAGATAAAAAATCGAAAAAAATGAAAATGTCAACCACCGAGAGCTTGACCCCTTCTTACCTACTCTGATATTAAGAATCCTGTCATCCTAGCAGAATTCCAAATATGCCACCTCAAAGCCTACTTGGAAAAAAACCAGTTATCAATCAACTCAAGATCATTGCATCTTAGAGCAGAGGAGTCTATACCTTTATTGGACATTGACATGTTTCCTCTCAGCTACAGAAAAAAAGACCCAAACAAAAGTCCCTACATTTTCTTGTATAACTTAAAATACATTATATCATTACTACATATTTATAGTTCAATAAATCTTAATCTATAAAGCACATTTCTTATAATTATCAGAAAACCTATAAACAAGCCCCATTCTGCCTCGCTTCTCCACCAGCTGGCCTTGCATGTATTACTATGCTTTTTAATAGGCTCATGCAAATTTCACCTTCCATTTTTAAAATTTAATCCAAGCACCAGTTGTAACCAAAATCTCTGGAACTATGAAATATTTATTCAAATGGGTCATTTTCCACACAATGATGCCCACTATAAGAAAGCCTTTTCTCATTTTCTATATTTTAACTTCCAGAGTTTTCCACTGAACAGTAGAACCACAGTACTTCAGATTCTCAGCCAAGGGGTATATAACCTTACTACTACAATGCATTACTTTCATACATTTATAAAAATGTGTTAAGACTTAAAATTTTTAAAAAATAGTTCAATCAATTCTGATAGTTAATAAACTAGTTGTTAATAACCTAGTCGTTTACTTTTTAAATAGAACAATCCATTCAACTTAACATGTAAGTACAACCTCAATGCTAATAGAGATTGATTAGTTTTATAAAACCTCCAAACTGTGATAGAATTTTAGACTCACCTCTGAGGAATGCTGGAGATGGTTAGGATTAGCAGTTTGAGCTGTCTTCCTTTCCCCCAAATACAGCACCCTGGTAAGAGAACTATGGCTCCCCCAGGACTGCTCAGAAGGGGGCCAGAGGCTAACTCACAAGAAACCGCTTTGTACCAGTTCCCCGATAATATACAGTGGAAGAATCACCTACCTACTGATGGTAGGGCTACAGTACCCAGCACAGTGCCTTGTCGGTAGAAAATGTTGAGTGAATGAATGCGTGGCTGCTTTGTTAGCCTGGTGTTCAACCCTTTTTTACCAAAAAAATAAAATAAAATAACAAACCTGATACTTGTTACCCACCTGGTCAGGGATTTTTTCTATCCTTAACAAAAACGAAGGCAAAATAATAATGAATTGGATCTTCTAAAAGCCAAGATGGACTATTACCTTCACATTTGCCCTTCAATACTGTCATTGACTGCAAATGCTCTAGTGTTTTTTCTACTTTCATAGTTTATGATTCTTGTTTAGACTGTCCACTTTCTAATGATACAGAGAACATTATTTTCATTAGTGGGATGCCTCCAAGTTACAGACAGGATGCAGCACTTTTATTTTCCTACAGGCAGATAATTACATCTAGATAAATTCTTGATACACTTCAATTCTTGGGATCCAAATATTTTTACATCTTTCCCAATCTAGGCATCCCATTCACTTTTTGATGTTTTATCACCATCACTTCTAATTTTACTTTGAAGCTTTAGTCATCTTTTATCTTCTATTTTCTGAAATGCATATCCAAATTGGGTAAAAACAAAAAACAGAAGAGTAAATTTTGAAAAGATGGTTTCGGTTTTCAGACTTCATAATCCCTATGTTGCCCTTTAATGGAGAAGGGAAGGGAATGTATCCTTGCAAAGAAGATTCCATGATCAACACAAACCTAATGTGTTTGTCTACAAAAGAAAATTGTAAGCGACAAAGAATCAAGTAGATCATTATTTGGAAAAAAATAGTAAGAATATAAACATCACATGAAAGATTTAGGCATTCACATGTAAATTAAGTTTAAAATTTCAGTTTCTAGGCAGGTATGACACCATTTCTTTCAAAACAAACTGATAATGTTGAGTGACAATGTTCTACATTTCCCAGTGGATTTTCTAACATTCTTATAGGGAGACCAAACTGTATCATTATGTATCATTCCATGTTTTTGTCTTCATTTCTGAAGAAATAGACCTGAGTGCTGACTTTCATTTTTAATTTCTTAAACTTTCACAACATTCAGCAGTTTTTCTGCATTGTGTCTTCGCTGATGTCTGAAAAGATTTGAGCTTTGACTATAGGATTTCCCACACTGAACACATTCGTAAGGTTTCTCCCCAGTATGGATTCTCTGATGATTAATAAGCCCAGAATTCTGGCTAAAGGCTTTTCCGCATTCAAGACATTTGTAAGGTTTTTCCCCAGTGTGGACTCTCTGGTGTTGCACAAGGATGGAACTTCTGCTGAATGCCTTCCCACATTCAACACATCCATAGGGTTTCTCTCCACTGTGGATCCTTTGATGAAGAATAAGGGCTGAGCCCTGACTGAAGTGTTTTCCACACTCATCACATATATGTTGTTTCTTTCTCGAAGGATTTCTCTTTCTTTCAAACCTGCCCTTAGGGAAACAGGCTTCTCCGTATTTAAAAATCTGAGGAACCCCCACACTGAGCGTGCCAGGAACTTCATGAGATTCCACTGCTGAAGGAACCTCGTGCTTTGGAGCTAACGCTCCATTTTCAGTCCTAGCATCATCATCTGAAACAAACAGAAAATGTAAATATCACTCATTTCCTATTCTGGGAGAAAGGAACCCAAAGGGGAAAAAAAAATAATGAATTTAAAGTAAATAAATAGCTTCCATTCATCTATAAACAATATTATGAAAGCTGATGCTAAGGTTGCCACTCTCAAAAGAGAAAAATATGAAATGACTGTGAGGCTAATGAGGTAAATAACATAATGAGGGATTAAACAGTTAAATCTGAACAGAAGTAGGAACAGGCTAGTGGGTTATAAATGGTAATGGGGGGGGGGGGACAGAAAGATGGTAGATTTTAAGACATTCAGGAGAGAGTGACACAACTAGGTCTGGATGGAACTTTGTAAGAACAAAAATAAAATAAGGCTGGCCATTAGAAAAGCATTATAATATCCTTTTCCTTTGAAAAAGGGAGAAATTACCTCAGTACAATGGTATAAAAAATAAGCAATCAGTTAGAAAGTAGCTATTTCTGAAATGAGCAAGACAAGACAGGTCACAGCCAAGATTAGAACACAGGAGTCCTGATAGGGCTGAAGATGAGCTGGGAGCATCCTGTGTTAGTTCAGGCTGACACTCACAAATGCAATACGCCCTATAAATGCAAGTTTTCCTGTGAAGAACGCCACCCTACTTGGTATTTCTCAGTATCTAGATGAGTCTTTCTTAGCCTCAGACAGATGTGCCTCGTGAAAGAACAGCCTAAATTATCAGCATGAGGTACCATCACATCTGCAGGCAGCTATTCGAGCAAGTTTCATTTACAACTTTCCTGATACACACACTCCAATAAACAAACGTTTTTAATTATTTAAAAATATACAAAATTTACAAGAAAAAAAAAAGACTTTCCTGAAACTTGAAAAGTCAAGACGGTTACTACAGGGTGAGCAGCAGCACTCAGAAAGGTCCACAATGAATGACTGAGAAAGGGATAAAGTCAGGAGAAGAGGCGGACAAGGAGAGACTGAGAGGGTCTCGGACTCTTGGAGAGCAGAGGAGTGTACAGGTCACGTGGAGACAAATGGCACAGTAAGAAGAAAGTTCTCAAGTGAGGTAGAGACTAGATTGCTGAAATGCGGAATTAAAGAGATGAAAAGTATCCTAAAACTCAGGCAGGGGAGAAGTTTTCTACCCAAGAAAATGCCACCTCCAAGCCAATGATAACGGTTTGCAAACTGTATTGCACAGAACAATGTCCAGATTCCCAGCATACTTCAGCCCCACACCCGAAGTTCTGAATCGGGAAAATACATCTAGTAGTTTGAGGGATAAACTGGGTGGTATCAAACTATACAAACAAGAATGTGGCATTAATTATAAAAAATACTGGGAAGGACTAATTTAATTTTTCTGTATTTAAAAGCTTATTATAGCCCTAGCCAGTTTGGCTCAGCGGACAGAGCATCAGCCTGCCGACTGAAGGGTCCCAGGTTCCGATTCCGGTCAAGGGCACATGCCCTGGTTGCGGGCTCGATCCCCAGTTGGGGGCGTGCAGGAGGCAGCCGATCAATGATTCTCTTTCATCATTGATGTTTCCATCTTTCCCTCTCCCTTCCTCTCTGTAATAATTTTTTAAAAAAGAAGCTTCTTATAGCTAGAAAGCCCATTTTTGCATGAATACTTAGAGAAGATGAAGAGCTTTATCAAAATATCATTTTTACAAAAAAAAGAACCTTAGAAAAAAATGACTCTGGATAGGATGTTGAAACAATAGGCAAACATTTAGAAAGACCAGTAATAAACAACAAATAAACAGACCTGAAGAGGCCTCAGGTACGTTTACTGTACCAATGAGATGAGGCAGGAGACTGAACAGACATGGAACAGACGACCAATATGCACTATTGCATGCACAATGCACAGGGACCTGGGCTCTAGGCAGGCGCTGGCTCAGAGTGAGCAGACGCCAGCCAGCCTGAAATGGGCCGGCCATCCAGGAGGAGGCGAAAGAGAAAAAAAGGCTGATGGTGATGTCTAGGAATAAAAGACCTGCGCTCAGCAAACTAACTGTTATGAGAAAAGAACCAAGCTACAGGGTGTCCAGTCTAAGAACGAACACACACACACACACACACACACACACACACACACACACACACAAAAGAGTAATAAGCAAAGGGTTCTAGACAGAAGCCCCCTACTGTCTCACCCTCCACCCCAGGGAAGCCCGGTCCTCACCGCAGTGCCTGAGGGAGTGCAGCTCCCAGGACGCCCACTTGAGCTGGTTTTCCACAGCATCGAGCTCCGAACTCGGTAATCCCTGCGCTTCTTCTTGAGATGCAATCTCCTCTACCAGCACCTCCCGCTTCCGCCGGCAGAGAGAAACCTGCGAATAAGATTGGGTTCAGTTGATACGGAGTTTAATGCGAATCGGAACTCACGGGACATGAGATACTGCATTGAGTGGAGGTAACTCAGCAGCTTTGCCTACTGGTGGGCCAGGGCCTCGGACCCAGGAAAGCGGCACAAGCAGGCTCACCGGCTGTCCAGGGTCATCCAGTTCACTCTCTAAATCCTCCAGCACCGCCACCGCCTCCTCTCCATTCTCTGGGTGATGCTCGCGAACCCAAGTCTGCAGCTCCTTGGGGAGGATGGCCACAAACTGCTCCAGCACGACCAGCTCCAGGATTTGTTCCTTCGTGTGTGTCTCGGGCCTGAGCCACAGGCGGCAAAGTTCTCGAAGCTGGCTGACAGCCTCGCGGGGCCCGGGGGAGTCCTGGTAGCCGAACTTCCGGAACCGCTGTCGGAAGACCTCCGGGTCGGGGAGATGGCTCCAGGGGATGCTCGATCCCTCTTCACCATCAGGATCCTCCTCCAACTTCACTCTCAGAATTTTTTCCTCCTCTTCTGGAGTTGGGATGGTAAGTATCGAATCTTCTTCCCCTGACTGTGTAGACATCCTGATTTTAATGCTTCACGAAAAGACAATCGAGGCAGGCAGAATAGAGGCCTCAGGGAGATACCTCGTTTTCTTCACAGGCAATCCTAAGACACAAAAAATTAACAACGTAAACGACCAACTATCCTAAGAATTTGGATATGTGTTGATAAAAAAAGTAAAAACATTTCTTTTTACTGAATTAAAAATTCCAATCAATAAACTACACCAGAAGTTGGCAAACTACAGCTCATAGTCAAATCTGGCCTGCTGCCCATTTTTGTACACTTGTATTAAGAATAGTTTTCACTTTTTTTTTTTTAATCCTCACCTGAGGATATTTCTTCCATTGATTTCTAGAGAGAGTGGAAGGGCAGGAGGAAGGGGGGAGGGAGAGAGGAAGAGAGAGAGAGAGAGAGAGAGAGAGAGAGAGAGAGAGAGGGAGAGAGAGAGAGAGAGAGAGAGAGAGAGAGAGAGAGAGGAGAGAAACATTGACATTGACGTAAGAGAGACACATCGATTGGTTGCCTTCTGCACGTGCCCCCACAGGGTCAAACCCTCGCCCTTGGGTGCGCAGGCCAATGCTCCAACCACTGAGCTAAGCCGGCCAGGGCAGTTTTCACATGGTTGAAAAATCTCAAAAGAATACTTCGTGACATGTGAAAACGATAGAAAATGAAAACATCTGTCCCTAAATAATTTTATTTCTTCACAGTTCACGCTACAATGGCAGAGACGCATTGTTGCCACAGAGACCAGATGGCCTGAAAAACCTAGCATTTACTACCTGGCCTTGTAGTGTTTCCTAAATGCACCTGATCCTGAGACACATTATTTACAATTGAAGACTGGTGTTCCCTCCCACACTTAGGGCAACTCAAAAGCGAGGATATGCTTAAGAAAAAAAAACAAAACATTTTAAGGCAGAATCTGTTACGTTAAAAAGTATTTTTAAAATGTTTAAGAACCCCCTACCCTTAAAATAAACTGAAGAATTAATTGTTCACTTGCTCAGGAATAGATAACGTAACATTGAAAAAAAAATCAGCCTCCAGTGCATACGATGCAAGCATTACTCGGTCACCCACACACCGTGACTGTTTAAACCTGCGACAGGCTTTAACCACAATCAATGCCATTCCGCACCGGGGGACTGTTTTCCCAGCTTCCACCTTCGGGGAGGCCCGGCGCTGATCCCGACCATCCCCCGGGCACCTGCACAGTCATGCCCACGCCGCTGGGGACCGCACGTCTTAGAAACGCATCTACTCGGGGCCCGGGGTCTGAAAACCGGTCGTGTCGGAAACCGACTGGAACCCCATCAAGATGAAGACCAGGAGCAGAAAAGCCCTCATCAGACACACGGAGTGTAATTCGCTCCTCTGGAGTGTGGTCTACAAACAGGGTTTATAGCCGCACGTCGTCCCTGCCGACTCCTTCCTGCCTTAGCAGTGGCTGCAGCCTCCTATCCACACGGGATTTCTCTTCCTCCTGAATTCTCACGGGAGGTGCGGGGAGGGCAGCCCGCGCGCGGTCCGAAGAGCATTTGGGTTGGGGGCGTGCCGCGCGGGCCCCGCCCCGCCCCGCCCCGCCCCGCCCTCCGCCGGCCCCTCCGCACCCGCGGCTGCGGATTTCTCACGACCCAAGGCCACCGGGGCGCGTCCACGGCGGGGCACAGCACTTCCGCCCGCGGCCGGCGGAACTACAAGTCCCGGCAGCCCTCGCGCAAGGCCCGCCCCTCCCCACCCCCGTCCGAGCCGAGTCCCAGAACTCTCCGCGAGACGCTGGGCCTCGAAATAGAACAAAACCGGCGGGTGGGGGAGGGGAAAGGCCAGGGTCGCGAAGGACGCGGGGAAGGAGGACCGGCGGAGGGTGCCGAGCCCCACCCGGCCTTTGGGCCACCCCCCGGGCCGCCGCTGCCGGGCGCGGAGACGGCGGCCTGCGCTCCCGGGACCCGGGGAAGGTCCCGCCGGGGCTCGTCGCTGGCTCCCGCCGCGGCCCGCAGCCCCTCGCCCGGCGCCCCGCAGGCCCTCCCGCACTCCGGCGCAAACCTGGGGCTCGGGCACCGCAGCGGCTTCGCTGTCCGCGGCCGACGCAGAGACGCCGCTCTCAGCCGTTTCCCAGAAGCCCCCGGCGCGACGGCTTCCTGTCTGCGGCCCGGGAGGCGGGAGCGCGAAGCCCCCGCGTTGCCATGGGGACGCGCCCGGGGCGGGGGGAGGGGCGCCCCGCGACAATGACCGCTTTGAGCCGGGCTTGGCCGGGCGCTTCTCTCGGGGGGCAGCCCCGGCCTGCGTCCCCGCCTGCACGACAAGGAAGGGAAGGGGATCTTGCCGCCGAGCGGGGCTCTGCGGGCTCTCAGCTCGGCACGGACCTGCCGCTGCCCGCGGGGAACTTGACAGGTCCGAGGCGCCTGACACGGCTGCCGTCCGTTTTCCC